ATTATAATTATACTGTTCATTTCACCCATGTAAAGTCTACTGAACATTTTATATGGATTTTAGACTATAATTATAAATAAATATTATTATTATTATTATTATTATTATTTGTTACCCGTGAAAGCCACTTTTTATCTCCCGTTATGCGTGAAGCTTTTAGTTAGTGGATTCGTTGAGCACCACATTCCTGTGACTCGTGAATGTGGGTTTATTCTCTGTCCTTTGTAAAACGAAGTCATTATGTGGACAAGGCATTATCAGTTCGATATGAATAAGTTTTTGTTTACTGTGATTTGTCAATTATGATATTATTTCCAGTGCACAGTGATCCCCCCCCCAAAAAAAAAAAAAATAGGACCCTCTGCGATCCATCTGATACCCAAGTGCCAAAGGATGAGTGCTAATAACCATTGGCAAAGTGCCCATCGTCAAATTTTTTTAATAATTTGCTATTATAAAGTTTATGCATATATATGTTGCATGGAAAAATATTATTTGGTTTGAGGCATCGTAACTTAGTATTTTTAATGAGTTATATGTGTGTGTGGGGGGGGGGGGGTAGCCGGATTTACCTATTGCATGCAGTCTAATGAATCAGAGAAACTTGTTATATTACATAAACGATTTTTTCTAATGAAACTTGTCTTGTGATGTAAAAAAGAGTTATATGTTAAATAATTGTGGTGTGGCACAAGTAAATGGGACAGTAATTATTGTTTTTTTTTAATCCTAGAGAAGAGAGGGAGGGGTGGTATATTACGGTATTTTCTCACAGAAGCCATCACTGATTTCACTTTACTGTATAAAAGTCTTGTTACTAGAAAAACTTGTTTCAGCGTATTTATTAATTTTATATAACTTTTCTCACAGACCAGCATTTGTTGGTCTAAATAATTGTATTTTTAACCAATACACATTTTGTACAAGGCTCTGAGGAATAGTAAAAAATGCTAAAAGCAAAAGGCTGTTACAGTAACAAAAAAAAAATCATGTGTAAAAGCACTCTAAATAGCTATTTGGAATGTTTCCATAAACCATAAAATAAACAAGGTGTAAATTGTACCAAAATAATGATAAGGTATAACTTAAAACTAAATGAAAATATAGTACACATAATAACAGTTATGACCAATAATCTTTGAAATATTTTTTCAAACTGCGTTGACCCAGTCCACCAATTTAAGGCAGTTTGAAATATTTTTTCAAATCGCATTGACTTTGTCCCATTTTTGACGCGATTTGAAAAAAATTTTCAAATTGCGTAATTTTTTCAAAGTGGGTTGTAACACAGCACTACATGTACAAATAAAGCAATCAAAATATTGATCACAAACAATGATTGGCCACATATTGCCTTACTTTTTTACATGGGCACCTTCTGTACCCAATTACAAAATTTCACAGTTGTCACCTTACTATAACTAAAGATATGTAGCATTGCAATTCAGACCCCCCTAAAACACACATTTTCATTAATATTTGACAAGGTCATTTTGACATTAATTTTTTATATTTCAAATTTAATAAAAATTTTTTTTTAATGGATCATAAAAGTGTAAGACCCCAACTTTAATTTGGCATCAGTTTTTTTCCATTCATTCACAATTTATTTTTCATGTACAAAGGTGGGCACTTTTACCCCCTTATTCGCACTCATCCTTTGACATGAAACACAAGTGTGTCATAAACTGGTTTAAACATGTTCGCGATTCATCACCAGGTGACACCCGTTGTGTGAGATTTCTTCATCATGAGACTCATCGACCTTTAAGTAAATAATTACGTCGCTAGCAGTTGCTCCAAAGCATCACACCTACCATGATAAAAAGTTTCTAACACGGTAAAAATCGTACCTAGTTCCGAGACTGCTTGAGCATGATTGTCTGTAGGTATGAAAGCTTGTGGCGGTCCTAAGACAAATTAAAAGTTGGCAGCAAACGTTTAAGGCAACGAGTTGCAGAAGTATGAGCGAAGAAAATTATTTTTGCTTATTTCTATCAATATAGTAGCAAATTTACTGTAAAATTCCAAGAAGGAATGCAGTTTTGCAGCAAGCCCGATGCTTTGATAAGGCTGGGGACTGCCTTCTTTGTCAGACTACAAAACCAAATGGAAGCGAGAAAAGGTGCAGAGATGGGCATTTCCTTTTCTCCTGCAAAACATATGGATTTGCAAATCTTTTGGCCCATTTTGATAGCAGCACTTTCTTTCTAAAATACCTTTTTGAACTGGTATAATTATATTTTGCAAATTAAAAACCATCTAGCTTTCATTTATTTATTAACAAGTTCTTGCTGTAACATAAAATCTTCGATATTGTTGCGTTTGGAATGCAAGACAAGTTAAGCAAAATTTTATAGAAAACCTAACTGAACCTGATAGATATTCTTGCTGGTCAATCAATGTCAATGTCTGAGGGCATCATACTGGCCCGTAATTGCACATAATGATTCATACTGACCCATAATTGCACATACAGTAATGATTCATCTTTAAAGCTGCAAACAAGTTTACCGGTGGTACATATGAATAATTAGAAAAGTACCCGTCCAAAAGACGCGTAGGGCCGTGAGACAGTTCAGGAAATAAATTGGTAGAGCGCACGGTTTCGAAGGGTAAACTACATATATTGTAGAAAAATGCATTGGTTTTAACAGTATTTAAAAAACAGTACCTTGAATTTTACGTTTACAATACTTCCTTGTACACAACGTTGCAGGTGGGAGAGCAGATTTTACGTGGCAGAAGTGGGCGAGCAGATTTTCAATCTATTGTTGCGTTCTCAATCTCAGTAACTGTGATTGTGTTTGACATGGGAGTGATGCGCCGGTAGCTAGCTATATCAGCGGCGCAGATTTGGTTTTCTGCCAGGCGCAGATTTGGCTCCCAGCCAGTTTCTGCCGGGCGCAGATTTGGACTCTGTCCAGATTTCTGCTCTGCGGAGATTTGAGTGGTTTCAAAATTTCCGTCAATGGGGAACAGAGCGGGCTGCATGCACTTGAGCTTCTGTCGCATATATATAGGGGAGCGACATAATAGTCGAGGATAGTCGAGTAGAGTAGTCTAGAGGAGCGGGATAGAAAAGTAGAGTAGTGAAGAGGAGCGGGATAGAAGAGTGGTTGCTTTACAGTTAGTTTTAGAGTAATGCAGTAATTAACTTAGAACTTTACAGCCTTAGTTTACATTGAAATTTGTACAAGAAATTTCAATCGTAAGTAGAAATAAAGACTGATGGTGGCAGCATTTCTTTTTACTCTACATACCGATTGTGTTTCTAACAGTGAAATAAAGAAACGCAACACTATCTTCATCGCCAACACGCAACAGTGCAATGTACGTACAGCATGCCGTGCAAAAAAGAACGTTTATCTTTTTTCGCTTATACATGTACCCTCTCCCCCTTTCATTTAAGGGTGGAAAATAATATATATATATATATATATATATATATATATATATATATATATATATATATATATACTTGAAACACAATATATATATATTTTTTCCACATACATTGATATATAACACACGTACATATATTCTGTAGGTGTATATAAATGCACATAATGTCACTTTTGTAGGAAATTTTGAATAATGCTCCAAGTTCTCGAGGCACCCCCCCCCCGAAAAAAAGAGCTGTTCTCCATTGAAAAATACAATTTCACCAGTTCAAATTGACTATATATATATATATATATATTTTTTTTTTTTTTTTTTTTTTTTTTTTTTTTTTAAAACGGGGTTTTTTTTTTATTAAATATAAAATTTTNCTTGAACTCCCCATCTTTATTGGAAAAGTTGCTAATGAAGTGTTAATATTAAAAGATAAGGCTTGGAACACACCGTAATTAACAGAATGAGACAGCAATAAAGTGAACCAAAACGGCACAAATACAGGAGAGAAGACGGATGCGGAAAACTTGAATATGATGGCAATTAAAAAAAAAAAAATTAAAAAAATAAATATATATATATATATATATTTTTTTTTTTTTTTTTTTTTTTTTTTTTTTTGTAAAACGGGGTATCTTATTTAATTAAATATAACATTTTGTCATATCTTCTGAATGATTTATCGAAATATCAGATGTTCTACCGTTTAGTTAAGAAAATATTTGCCTATGCATTTGTATCAACAGCCTCCACTTTTCACTTTAGGGAGCTTCCATAATGGATATTTTACAGACTGCATTTGTTGCTCTATTTAAAATTGTATCGTCAGATCGTCAGACAGTCATAACACGTTTCAGTTTGGTCCTGCCCCCAGTTAACTTGGTGCTCGATAAATACCTCGTAGTAATATCGAGAACGTCCCGCCAAGCTTCAGAGATTACTTGAAACACGCCTCTACACTTTAGCGTACCTGCAGTTTTACATAACCCCTCTTCACTATAGCATATCCCTGCCGTTTCAAGTAAACGTCAAGGGTGTGTTATAGTGTACAGGTTTGTTTCAACTTGTCTCTGAAGCTCAGGGTGCGCGAAACAGACCACGTTACGCCTTGGCATCTGACGTACATATACGCCCTCCACAGTGCAGTGTTAAAATTAAATACATCGCCGTTCAGAGACGCTGTTGTTTTAATCGAACGCCTCTCTGCGAATTGCGTCCACTTGCAAAACAACGGTCGGAAATTGTCGTCAAAAGCTGTAAAATGGTGTCAGTCGCATGGATTTGAGACTTTTTCGACACTGTCGGAGAGTCAATGGATCGATTGTGCACGGTGTGGCATAGCACTGGTATCCACTGCAATCGAACTAAACGGGGGCAAAGATGGGCCTCTCCCCTCTTTTATATATATCATTATCATTATAATAGTCAAGTAGCCAGAACGCTAACCTGCAGTGTTTTTTCCTGTAAAACTTTTTTTTTTTTGCTGAAACGCATTCCTCAGGCCGAGAGAACCAAAATTAGCTTGGTTGCTACTTTCAAGAGATTGAGCATTTTTCAATACGGAATAATAGAAAGACGACCAGAAGTCGCTAGATGTACTTTATTAAGAGTTTTTTTATTGTTTTTCCTATCAGAAGAGCACATTAAGACTAGTGAATATACTTACGTTTTAGCAAAAAAACAAAATGGCAGTCAAAACATATTATGGCAGAAGGTAAAAAAGGTGCAAAAATTGTGTTTTTGCATAGTTAGTCTTATTATAACCATATCCGCTTTTTATATTTATTTTCATTATGTTATTGTGTTAGCGATTATCCTAAACTCTCAGAAACTGCCAATGACATGGTCATTTTAGAGTTTACAATTATGCATTAAACATAAGTAACTTTGATTTTCATTTTGGGCATGAATAAATACGAAAATTCGAAATAAGACAAATGTCAATCTTGTATGATTCGTGTTATTCAAAAGCAATCCTATGTGTAATTCAATACTAATCAAAAACTGCGTCAAAAGGCATTATTCCAAGAGTTTACGGCTATTGGCATTTGTTTCATGACAGAAATTGCCTCTAGCCAAAAATATCGGTTAAGGCAATGTCCTTCGTGCATTTTACGTTATACAAAGTAAGGGAACCGATTCCAGGCAGGTTATAATTTGTACAGCAAAAACGCTGGTAAAATACAAGAGTGGACAGTTCAGTGCCACATTCATGCACGAGGCGGCTTGTAAAATGTGACCACTCGCTTGCCTGGTGGTGCGATGTCATGACCAAATCTTTCGCACGAAATTTGTCCAAGAGTTTTCTTGGCGTCTACACCAGCTGAGTTTTGAACAGAAAACTTCTTACCCAGGCCTGCGTCGCCCAAGGTAAGTTTCGACAACCTCTCACAGTCGGCCGGGCACTCGCGCAGTACCTTCAAACAGGTGTACAAGTCGGGAATTGTCAGCTGGCGCCGCCTACGGGTAGAATAGAAGCCAGGATATCTGTCGGTGACAGGCACGGGAGAAGATGCATTGGCCTCCTCTACCCACACATTGCTGAACCCGTAGATAAGCGTCGGAAACTCATAGAGGATGGGCCCTATGGACGTCTCGCTTATCTCGGCACGAACGCGGCAAAGACACCTGTTGAAAGATATTAAGCCGTATCACACCACGATTCCTATTAAAGCACATATATTTAGCTCGAAAGTTCGTGATATTTCGTGTTAAGAATCTTATCAAGTCACTGTAAAGAAAGCTAATCCTGAGATCAGTCAGAATATATTGCTATAGGGCAACGATTCCACGTGATTTTCATGCTCGTGCTGATTACCTTAGGAGCATATTGCGTCTTCCAAAAGACAGCCAAACGCACACAACTTATGCAGTTAATGCCGATTAAAAATTTAATTTTCATACAATGAGAATAACAAATTTCATGGAAATTGAAAAGGAACATCCTTATTTGTTGAAAACTACACAGATGTCCATAGCTCTCTATTTACAATTTCACCAGTTTAATTGCATTTTGTTGAAGCTCACCTTGTAGCATTTGATGAGTTGGCCGTGTGTCTTGCATCAAAATACTAACTTCATTTCCTTGATTTAGTTAGATATATTTACCTTTTTGTAGATGGGTCGCTCCATTTTTCCACTGGAAAAAAATTATACATTTTTTTACCAAATGTTATTCAGCCTTAACATGATTCACGATTTGTGCCTGCACAAGGCAAAATAGATAGATCATTTACAATTAAGAACAAGGCAAAATAGATAGATCATTTACAATTAAGAACAATAAAGGAACGCTTGCGGTTAACGTAAAAACCTTACCTCTTATCAAAATTTTCGTCCTCAGAAAGTCGTACCGTATTAGCCTTCAAATTTAAAAGCCTTTAAACACATTCCCCTCTAAAACTACACATATGTTTACTTTGCTTCAGTCGTTTAAGTTGGTTTCTTGCAATTTAACACATATAAAAATTCAGCATTTAATTCTATCGATCTTATCAAATTTGTAATCGGCTTTTTACTATAGACTGGAACTGGAATACAGAAATGTCTGTGTTTCTTATCTCTTATTTGGAAGGTCATCTCCGTTGTTTATCCATCCTCGTGAATGAAGTCTTAAATTTTTGTGCCCGAGAAAGTTTAGCCCAAGCATAAAGGGTTCAAAATTCAGATTAAAATGTACCTTTTTGGGACTTTTGGGGCTATTAATTGTGGCGTTCATTTTCACATACCCACACACTGTTGACCATCACCATTGAATCCTGGTTTACATTCACATTTGTAAGACCCAAAAGTATTGATGCAGCTAGCGTTGGATGAACACAAATTAGGAACAGTTTTGCATTCATTGACGTTCACATCTGAAAATGCCATTTCTTTTATAAATCGAGTTCTATCTAATTAATGGTTCATAATTATAAAAGTAAAAACATACTGTGTTGTTCTCTCTCTTGAAAGTAAAATTCGTTTAAATTTGCACAAATCAATTTCCGTGTATTTTAAACGAAGACGACTACAAACTGTATAAACAACAAAAGTACACCATCATTGCTACCTATGCTAATAGCAGGAACTTTATAGGCACACATATGCAATATTTGAAATACTGGCTACAAGACACAAAAATGACTCACCACAGAGCTTGTTGTTTGAGCCAAGCTTAAGGTTTGGTGGGCAGTCGCACACTGCCCCATGGTCAGTATCGTTACAAAAATGGCTGCACCCTGCGTTGTTGATAGTACAAGACGTTTCTGTGTGAACAAATGTAGGAAAATGATACCACAGTGCTTGCCTCTAAATGAACTCACATCACATGCATATGATAAATGATGGACTTCGCACAGCTGGAATCATTAGTCATCACTTTTTTACCAAGAAGAATTTTGTAGAACTTTGGTTTAATCAGTTCATTTGTTGTACATTGTAAATTATAATTTCTCTTTAATTTGCATCATTTGCAACATCTTACAGCAGTATCCAAATAACAAATTACACTGGATTTGGAAGGGTGGGAATATGAATTATTGAATTCATTGTAGGGGAAACCGGGGCTAGTTGGACCCCGGGGTAAGTTGCCCCCCATTAATTTATGACAAAGTGACTATGGGGTAAAAGAACTGATCAAATCATTTTATAAAGTGACCGTATCAAATAGTGCTAAGAAAGCGTCAGCAGTGAGTCCAAATGAAATAATTTAGCATCTTAAAGTAACTTTATTAAAGAGACTTGATGGGGGCCATTTTACCCCGGGGTCCAACTATAGCCCCAGTCTCCCCTACTTGTTGTAAGGAAATTAATAAAATAGGTGATCTCTTTGAAAGCAAACATTTGTCATCCACCAATATCGTAATCTCAACTCTCTTCTACTTACTGCATGTTTTCTGGTCGGAGCCAACGATCATGTTTGCTGGACAACTGCAGACAACCTCGCCTTTTCTATCTTCATGACAAAAGTCACTGCACCCGCCATTTCCTATTTGACACTTACTCACTGAATAACACACCAACATTATAAATTACCTACTGTTACTTGAACAACGACTTTATCGAATGATTTGACGAACAATTGTTAGTTTCTGTGACATATTAAAATTAAGAAATTGCAAAATTATACTCATTTTATTTCCATTTTATTATAGACCACCTTCAATGTAGGAATTTTCACCAATTTTTTTTCAAGCGCTATTAAAATGATTGTTCGAGAGTACCGCAAGTCTTGTTGTCATTTCCCAACACGAGGTATGCCGGACACGAGCAAGATGGTTTCCCGTGGATATTTGAGCAGTTATGGCTTCAACCACCGTTTTTTATTAAGCATGGTAAAACTGTAAAAGCAAAATTGATTTGAAAAAGGTTCCAAAGTGAAATCAGTTGTCTAAGAAAAAACGTTATGTCCCTTACTGGGTTGTAATGTTTTTAACATCAATTAAGCCACCCTACCTAATAATATGTTCCTAAATAATGCCATTGGTTTTTCTGAATCTCTTACCGCAGTCACTTCCATCTAGCACTTTGTCTTTTGGGCAGACACATTCAAATGTCCCGTTGTTATTCGTGCAGCCATCGGTGCAGTTACTGCTCAGACAGGGGTCGCTACTGTCTGTTTCTGCAAATACAAAGTAAATCAGTGGCAGTTCCAGGCGGTATAGTGGACCACGTGGCCCTCTCTTAGCTTTGGCAGTCACCTGTTCTCCCTTTTTTCCTCTAAAAATTCAGTTTACTAAACAGGACAAGTCATATCTGCCTGCCTGTGCTCTACACTCTACAGTAATATTGTCCTCGTCTACTTATCTACTATTATATAATTGCCAAGCAAACATAAGCAAAAACATATCCTTTTGTGCCCCCTTTAGCAAACACTGGATCCGCCAATGTAAATCGATAATACTTTTGGTCTCTTGCAGTTACTCATCGTTAAATGATGTAATATGTGTCCGCATGATATATATACCTGTATATATATATATTAGGCAATATCAGCAACATGAAACGGCCAAAGTAAGTTTGTGCCTGATGTTTGCGAATTAGCATTAGCAAAAGTGAAAATGTGCGTTCAGCTAGATTTAAATATGCAATGACGATGCACTTAACAGGTACCTACAATCAGTGCGTCTACACGAAAACTACAAGGATTAAATATCCCTCTTTCTTTACTAGATGTTTAACTTCAATAATTAATAATTACCATTTTCTTTCGTCACCAAATTACATGTACATATACCTGTGCAAAACGATCTGTGACACAAGCCGTTTTTAGTAGCGATGCACTGTACACAAAATATCCACCAGGGCATTTCTTGATCAAAATAAAGTTTGGGTTTTCAGCTAAATAATAGCAGCATCTCATGAAGGAAATACGAGGGCAGATTTGTCTTCTCACAATACCATCTTCTTCTTTGGGATGGCTTCCAGTGATCCACCACGGAGAGTACATATCACATTCATTATGCCCACACTAAACGAAAATATATTACCCTGGAACTATTTTCATACTTATTAAATGTTTTATAAGCAAAGGGTTATCTTATCTTTTATAATATTCCTGGTCAATGTGTACATGTACTTGCTGGAGATGAAACTTAATATAAGGCAGGTTGGCTGTTTACAGTATTTAGTATGCAAACTAAATAAGATGTGTTAATTGATATAGACATGCGTACGTAAAAGCACAGCAATTGTTATAATTATAAGTAAATAAAATAAAATTGCAAAGATAGAGGGGGAGATAGATTAGACAAACAAATAATACAAAAACTAAACTTATGGAAAATAAGTATGGACATGCATAAAATATATTCTTCCTATATACGGTATACGTTTTTCTTTCTTTCATGGGTCTTATTTTTCTACATCTGTTTATGTATGAATGATTTGATTGTTTATCTTACGACTTCAAAGCAAGAAAGTAAGTATAATGTATATAAATGAAAAAGAGATAAAGCTAAGGAAGCATTCACGAATATGGTTAACTTGACGTTTTCTTATTAACCAAAGCATATAACAACAACTTTTATGAAATGGAAAATTCTGTTAAGAAGCTATATACTAGTATATTACACAGCATCAATTACCCAATCGGTCACTTTATTACCAGCCTCCCCCGTTATGCGGAACCATCCAGTCGACCGGGCAGATTCATTGCAGGGAATATATGTACTGGGAAAAGACAGTCTTCGCCGTGATTCTGACGATTCTATGTAGTCTTTACATGGGTCCTCTGAAAACGGATTTTTAAAAATAAGAATATATATATATATATATATATATATATATATATATATATATATATATATATATATATATGCACGTCTACGATACTGGGTAACAACAAACGGTTATCATCTTTGGAAGTCTTTCAAAATATTCATATGTGGTGGAATAGAGTGGGGGTGCTATTATGTGAAAGGGGATAGATTTGTCTTATTATAACAAATAATTTTGTGTTTCCAAACATTGCTGTGTATTTTTAACTTTTTAATTGTTATCCAAAATGACACTAAAACAGCCCTTAAATCTGGAACACAGACATACCAGTCTGTTTTCCAGCTGTACAATACGGAAAAGAAAGCTCTCAGAAAGGTATTTTTATGTTTTTGTCATATCGGGGATCATCTACAGCAGACACCCTAGAAAGAAAAACGGAAATTGCTCCTCGTGAAGAAAATGGGTTGCTGTGCGTTACAATCGTGTCCGTTTTCTACTTCAGTACAAAGTATCTCCCATACACGTGAACTATACAAATCGTTCAATTTCGGGTTTTAATGAAATACAGTCTGCTTTTCATAAAACAACAATGTGTAAGGAATTCCTGTCATCTGAACGGGTTATCACAGATGTTATTATCCAATTTTTTTATCGTTTCCTCCACACTCGCACGACAACGAAACCACAACTAGCGTGTATAATTTATTTTCCCCATTTAGATTCGGCACATGGACTTAGCGTAAAAAGTCGAGATTTACATTGATGACGTAATGACTGTAAAATGAGACTAATTAATTAGCTTTTTGGCGTGTAAGTGCACTCTTTCCTAATAATTTCTGTATATGTTTAATGCTACATTTTCCAAAATTTATGAATATTAAGCAAAATACTATGCATATTTTAAGCAGAAAGCGTGTTCATAAGATCGGCGCCATGTTGCCCATGTCCAAATGTTGTTACCCAGTATCGTGGACGCGCAGGTTGCAATTATTCCCAAATCCTTTAAATGTACAATATTTACTTTTAAAAGCAGATCTCTACCATTTGCGACTTAATGCAGTTGAACTGGGCCTAGGCGGAATTAGAATCTGCCGGAATTGGGATTGTGCCTGCAACACATACTTATTCAACATGTATTAAAAGCAAGCATTCAAAAGGAATAAACAATAAATAAGCATACATGGTTCACACGTGCTTGACTCACCGGTTTTGGCATATGAACTAATGTCTAAAAACTAAAATAAGGATCCGCCAAATGACGCTCATTGCAGCTCTTTGTAATAGAGAATTGGTTGCTGAGCTGTGGAAGAATAGACTGAGACCATTTAAATCGATTCCACGCTGAGATAACATTTATCCATACATCACGCCCAACTGATACAGCAATACACTACTATTGGTCAACTTAAAAAATTCAGAAATACGTTGCGCCGTTGTGTTTGTTCCAAATGATATTTCTGTTGAAGAGAGGCCTGAATTAGCATTCATCTGTTCCTCTGCATGTTAGCCATTTTGGCTTCTGCATATTTGTTACCACGTGGAAAGTTGCCCTAGAGTTGTTTTATTTATGGTAGGATATTGAATGTATTATATTTGAAATAGCTTTTGTAACGTGTATATTTACACGTGGGATGTTTACAAGTAGGTTAATGAACTGGATGCAATTCATACACGTAGACCCCCGTCGTTGCAAAGATAGTTAATGGAGATATGAAAAGAGTTGATAAATTGGCAGACAGACAGAAACCAGTTGGCTAGATAAGGTTATGGTTAGGACATGGACACTCTTTTGCAAAGAAAAGGAAAGTAGTATACTCATAGATAGTATATTTTTTTATTCTTCATTTCAAATTAAAAATGCAAATATATTCAAAACAAATTAGTTCGAAACCACGCTTAACTGTCGTATATTTTATATCCACTAACCGTTAATTCTTTATAAAAATAACGCTAAATGCCTTTTCTCCATTCTGCAATAGCCGCATATCGATGATCAAAAGAAGCCAGAATGACCACTGACCATAATCGTGTGTGCAAAAGAACAATTAAATCCTTTAAGTGAAGGTTTTGTGAAAACTGGTAATTTTTCATGGACTCATATTTTTTAACTTGACACCGCAAACTTGTATGTACTTTCTTAACCTATTGAATCAATTTAAAATATATTATCAACTAGCTTACAATTCATTATTCAGAAAAGAATCTTAGTAAACCTAATACCGCCGTCACACTTAATTGGAATCAGCAGGAATCAAGAAGAATGAGGCTGAATGAAGAATTTTAAAAATTCGCACCACATTCGGGGAAAAAGTTTAAATTGACCTTAATTATTGTAAGAGTACCGTTGGAATACTCAGAATGCGCTTGCATTCGCCTGGAATGATGAGTGCACTTTCGGCTGTTTTAGCTCTCAAATGCAGTTCGAATGTAGTTGGAAAACTAGGAATATCTATAATGCTGTCAGAAAGCAGTAAGAATATTTGGAATATACTTTGAATGGCGTATTAGTGTAGTTCGATTGCTGGCAAAATTAATATTTCACCTCATCCGAGGCACATTCGAAACATTCTGGCGGGATTTTATACCCCCGTTACACTAGAGGCGGAATGATTAAGAATGGCGTCGAAAATACAATTCTTTGTGCATTCCAGGTTATTCGAAGAGCATTCTAAAAATTCCGAGTGCATTCCAAATATTTTTACCCATTCTTGTGGCCGGCTCGAATGTTTTTGTCATGTCAAAAACTTTCGAAGTGCATTCCAAGTGGAAAATTATCGAATGGCATTTGAACAGTATTCTAACTGCACTATGACTGCATTCTAAATATTCTCACGGCAATCCGACAGCATTCGAAACATTATGATCAGTTACCATTCCAGTGGCGTTATTTATACACTCTGGGTATCGTGTTACATTATAAACATGTTAGAAAGTAATTTTAATTAAGTATTTTAGGTATTTCAGCTGCATTATGTTTGAATTCTTTATATTTCAAACCATCACTGGCAGCCATACCCGGAGCAGTTGACTGCATTTGAGTTCGCTTCATATATTATTCGAGGCACCTTCTTACATACTTCAGTACATTAGAGATATGTTTGAATCGATTACCCCCTATAAATGTATAAAAACAATCCATTAGTAGAAAAAGCGTTCTAGATAACCCCACCGCAATATGCAAAAATGAAACAACATATCTAGGTCACGTGGCACTGTGATGACATACAAGCCAAGGGCCATTGCTTCAGCAATGTTCCGAATAGTGGAACGTAAATTTCACTCATTTTATTGCTTTACTTTCCCCTTCTCTCTCTCATCACGTTTTGTCAACAGATTCACACGTGTTTCCTCGTTTTCATCTGACAAACTGACCAGTTGCTATTGTTTTGTTCTAAAGATGAAATAAGACGTTCACAGTCATATTCATACGGTTTCAGTTAACATTTTGGGAATCAGCTCTCAAACATATTGTTATAGTGAGGAATGACGACAGCAGTTTGGAGCTTTCGAACGTTTATTCACCGACTCTTGCTTCTTACAACTTCACAAATATTTATACTCAATTTCTCCGAACTGATCACGCATTTACTTGTTTTCTTTTCCATTGTCTTTGCGTGATTACAAAATATTTTCCATTCTCATGTTGCAAGTCACTATGCAACATTTCCTTATTAGGTAATCCCTAAGAGACTTGTTTTCAATTAAAGATATCTAAAATATTATTTGGATTACTCATACTTGGCTCTTATCCAAAACTCAGTTATCATGTGATAAATGCATGATCAAAATTAAAATATGTCATGAAATTAACCAATCGCATTAACTGTTACTGACTTTGACCTTTTCCATCTTTTTCTGACACTAAAAACATGTTCTACACTTGTTGACTCTTGGAGAAACTTAACTTACACTCAATAACTCTCTGTCTTTTTACTCTTTTGATTCCGCTTTAATTGTTTTCTGTGATTAGCAAAAGTGTAAGTAATTTGCTTTACAACAATATCGTTTAATAGTTTTAAGAGGAGCTCATTCACTAAATAAGAACCTGTCAAATTATAAGACTGCATTAAATAATGCAGGATGCTGTGTAGATATTGCGAAGATGAAAGAGGGGAATTTCATGATGAAATCCTTCCGATATACATAAACCGTCCTGGACTTGTCCTTGTCCTTGTTTTTAATTGCCGGCTTCAACGGTCGCTTACATTTTCCGAATTTTCTTTTTGTACAGCCTTTTCTGTTGGTTCGCCGTCAAAATCAACAACATCATTTGGCGTGTCTGATTTATGAGACGTGTCTTCATCCTAGGAAAGAAACAATCATACAATTACAATGATGAATTCTAATATATTTTGCAAGATATTTTGAAAACAGTACGGGTAACCCCCTTTACACTGGACGCGTCGTTTCTGCGTCCTTTGTGCGACCATTAAAACTGGCTTCGCTGTTGTCGTAGAAAGAAGGCACGAGCATCGCTTTGGTTGTAGAATGAATGCTCAATGATCAGTTAGTTGTCGGCACGTAAAGTAAGACTTTTTTTTTCTCAAACGGGGCCGTAATACTGGACGCAGAAAGGACGCCGCCCAGTGTAAAGGGGGCTTAAGTAAAGGGATGTACAAATAGTGCTGAAGCTATCACGTCTTCCTCCCCTTTCCATTGGAGAACCTGCCTTGAAGATAACAGAACAGTAGATAAGATTCTAAGCCTACCTTGGTTTTGTCAAGTTCCGACTCCTTCGTTGATCTCGACGTCTTCCGCGCATGGAGATGTAGATTCTTAAATGACACATCTGGGATCGATGGAATAATTTGTACATTTGCACTAGTTTCGCTGTACTTACATACCTAGCGCATGAGTTAATTTTGAAAAGCAGACAGCGTTAAGCAAAATGTTGATCTTACCTCGCTATTGTGGTCACTTTTTAAGTCTTTCCGCACTTCAGTTTTTTCCGGCAACTAAAATAAATAAAGATAACTTTTAACTTTTAGTCTAATATAGTATATCTCATTTATTTAAGAACTACTTCAAATGCTGTTTACATCGATCAAAAATTCAAAATGATCACATGCATGCATGGCACATAATCACTAACTTTGTAAGATGCCCCTTTTAAAAAAGGTGAGCATGGGCGTTCACAATAGGTACCCGCTAACCTCAGTTTGAGCCTCTTTTAATCGATTCCACTGGACCATGGTCTCCGGTGTCTCCGGGACTTGAACATGCCTGGGTGATCGTGGTGTACGCGCCTACAAAAGATACTTATAGTAATTTATAACGAAGGAGACATAGAAACTTCTATTTAATCTGTGTAAACTATGTAGCTATGGCATGTAGCTACAGAGCAAAATGTACGCATTCTATTATTCAGTACACGTATCTCAAACAGTGCCCTCGCTCTCTCTCTCTCTCTCTCTCTCTCTCTCTGTGTCACACAAACTCACACATACACACACACACCCACACACACACGTACAAGAACACACTGAGTCAAGATGCACAAAATAATAAATCATTGTACCATACTGAATCGCCACTGTATGTGAGAGACACGTCTGGTGAAAGCATCAAGATTGTTGTAGAGAAGACGCGTACAATCCGTTGTTCCAATTCTTTGAAACGGGTTGATGTGCCCCGTAAAACGAAAGCTATACTTACATGATTGGTAGTAGTCGTGGAGGTCTTATCCGATCGTCGGGAATGTCCCTTAAACAAACGTAGAATAAAAATGGCATTTATTCTTAGTCGTTTACGATAAGGTCTACGATAATTAGACAGCAAATCTTTTTTTTTTTATATTTTTCATGCTTATCAGTGGGGCGCATTCAACATACCTACATTATTGTCCAATATCACTTAATCTTTTATTACAAGCTAGCCCCAGGCCTTTAAAAGCTGCATTTATACCAAAGTGACAAAGCAAAACAAAACCAAAAGTCAATTTTGCAGATCCACTCAACGTACTCGATGTGTATGATCACTCTTATCTATAGACTTAGAACTAGCGCGCCAAGGGCACTGTTGGTTTTGTTTCTTTCTGCTTCTTTCTTCTTTGTCATAGATGTCGATGCTGTCGATCAACCCCTCCATCATGAGGTGACGCAGTCGCTGCCTTTCACCCTCTGCCAGATCACGTTCCTTTTGGGCTAATTTCTCCTAAAACGTCAATAAAATTCTTACGGCTATGATACAAGGGTGAAAGAAGGGAAGGATTCCTTCAGGTCTACTTTTTTATAAATTATACAGCCATAATCCCAACTACTAAGGACAGACCTGCATGTGTTCTTCAAACCATCATGAAACGAACTCTAATCTATAGAAATACATTAATATTGCCTCCCTAAATATTTACAGTCTCATAGTTGACCTACTCAGAGGCCAGTAATTTATCGCTAGTTTACAGCTGCTTCTAGATGTAGTTTATCTATTGCAGTTTGCTATGTATCTGCAAAAATTAATATGAATTTTTGTGAGGGTCCATCGAAAGTTCCGCCTTTCTGCAAGAAAGCCGTCATTTTGGCGTGGGCCTTTCTTCATTATACAGAGCATTTTGTTGATTGAGAGAAATAGGGCGTGTGCATTAAAGATGCACCGATTACATACATATAATTTCATAATAAAAGTACAAAGTGTTGAAATCTTAAAGAGGGATGGTAGAGAGACAATGGAAGACATTTTATAGACTTTCTTAAACATTTGGCAATTGTCGTCCTACCTTGCTAGCTACATTGCTTAATTGTAAAATCAATAGTATCCTGTGTACACGTAATCGATCAATTAATCCATGCAACAAATAAACAGCCGGGAAGATAAGAATAGTCATTAAGTGAAAATGATTCTTAATTTTCCTGGGAGTTTTCATATCTGGTTCTTGTTATTGAACTAAACAAATATAACGTTTTACTGAGTGACATAATTAAGTGACGAAAAAGACGCGTACGTCTATATACGGGTATATATCAAAACAAAAGAATCCCTGTGGTATTATTCCTGCTAGTGGTTTCCCCCACATTGCCATTGATCAAATTGAACGGGAATACATACTCATACTCATTCTGAAGATAAATTGAAAACTTTTGTCGTGATCAGCTTGCAAAAGCCGGAAGATGTTGGCTAGATTTATGGCTTTCCGGCCTAAGATCACGACATGGACCCACTTAACCTGTATTTTACGACATCTACGTCGGGTGGTATTTTGGTCAGCACTAGATCATATACGGCAGCGGGACGGAAGTGAGTAATCCAACATGGCGGCCCCCAGCGCCGCCGCAATCGGCGTTCCTCGGCTCATTCCGCAAGCTTCATACTAACCATACTTATTGTCGAGTGCGGAGACATCCGAGTAGTTCCGAGTGGCGCCGCCGAGACATTTATAGGATGCAGTTTTACAGCAAAATATCTAGGAAAATATACATGTATGCTATATCCCTAGGGATTCTTTATTGATACACCTTCACAAATAAGGTGCAATCAAAGACAGTACATCTAACTATAGCAGAGTACAAACAAGTAAATGAATAAATATACATGATTTTGATGCAATATCGATATAGATGAATACGTGTTTAAAAATGGGCCGAAGTACAATCATAGAGGTAAAACAGACAACTCCAGCTACAGATACGAAAATTTGCAGGACGTGGAAACGCATTTAGACCCAATTAGATGAATGTAGGCCCTATAATAATACTAATAAATGAGTTTATAAAGTGATATATATAAAATGTGTAATGATAATCTACAGGCGATGAATTTAAATACAAACACTGAAAAGAGTACAATGTATTAGGAGAGGGTTTGTTCCCTTTTTTGGAAGCATCTACATGTACTAGTATTTACAAAACGCATAACCATTCTAAGAATATTTAAGTCTTGAGCACCCATAAGAAAATTATACAGTTCATTAAAGCTGAAGTCGCCTAGGGGTAGGAACTCTGACAGCTGCCCTCTGAAGGGATCACGTATTGTATCATATGCTTTGCACTCTAGCAGGAGGTGGAACTCATCTACTTTATTCAAATCGCAAAGTTTACAAAATCCTAGGAATAATACGATTAAAAAATAAAAAGATAAATTAAAAAGTAAATAAAAATTATATGCTATATTCCTAGTTATTCTACGATTAAAAAAAAATTGAACTGTGTTTTGATCGGCACTACAACATTCGACTATCAGCCTTAGCATCTCGTCGCTAGGGACCGCCATGTTGGATTACTCACTTCCGTCCCGCTGCCGTATATGATCTAGTGCTGACCGTGGTATTTTATCGCCACCCATAAACGATGTCAGCCGCGCGTGAAGTTTATTGATATTTCATTGGTTACCGGGGCAACTGATGTGATCATCGTTTTAGTGTGCCGATAAAGATAAGATTACAAACAGCCAAATCAATCATTCGGCAGGTGATCTTCGGATACATAATCAACCATTTTCCAAGGGGCTTTTGTTCGTATTATTTCTCCGGTTTGTCACTGAGCGTTTCATAGGAATGGGGAATATTGCCTGTGACACGCAGGTTTTTGAGTCCATTCAATATTGGTATATGCACGTTTTTGTAATGTCAAATAATACGGGTTAATGATACACTACAAATTTCTTAATAACTCAATCAGTACTCAATCCATCTCCGTACTGTAGGCTATATTATAATCTTGCAAAACACAAATGCTTACCTACATGTATATAAGCACCGAGGCCCAATTTTTGCTTTTCAATTTTAATTTTTTCATTCATAAATTCAAAATCTTTTGAGTTGTATGAAGGCACATATTTGGTCTAAAATCGTTGTAAAATGTGAAAAATTGCTTGCGTTGAACGTCGTTATATGGATATCACTTATGTCTACATGTGCATATGCC